TCTTTGTCCATTGTTTCCCCAGCACTTAGCAGTGTATCTGGCGTAGAGTAGATGCTCAATAAATATGCAGGAAATTCATTTATTGATTGATGAGTACTAGTGACTAAATAATGAAAAGATAATAGGATAAAGATGTCAATATTATATTCCAGAAGCATCAAAGAGTGAGGAGCTCTTAGGCTGAAATAATCAATAACAATATTTGTTACAAGCATTTTTTAAGCAAGGGTGATGATTTTGCAAATTAGTGGTTATGAGAAACTTCAAGATTTAGCCATTGAGAAGAGGGTCCCATGGAAGCTTGCACACATTCAGGAGAGAATGAAAATGTGTAAATGGGGAGAGCTGCTGGTTGTAGATACTGGGAAATAAAATCTGGATCAAGGAAATAGTGAGCCAAAACAGTGTTTTATTTTTCCTTTGCCAAAAGAGTCTCCTTAATTAAAAGAAAGGAGAAGATTCATTGCAAAGCAACAAAATTATACACCAAAAAAGGGAACAGCATAGAAAAGGGTTGCTTCCTGACTCAGGGAGGGTTTGGGGCTGGAACAGGGAATGAAGAGGTAATACTAAAGGCATATTGAAAATTATTCCTAAAAGATGCATAGGAGCATCTCAAATAGATGAAGCTCTTGCTTACTTATCTCTTCCTTTAGTCTTTGTCTTTTCAGGCTGAACATCTTGTGTTTTGCCAAAGTGAGATGAGTTTGAGCCCCTCTTCAGGCTAATGGATCTCTTCTGATGTGTTCTAAGTGTGACAACCTCATTCTTCATAGTCTGTGTGCTAAAGGGAATACAATATCCAAATGTGATATGGCCAGCACGTGATAGAACATGGCTGCCACTGCTTATTCTGGATTTGAAATTCCTTGTGCAGGTTAAAATTTCATTAGCCTTTTATTTCGCAGGTTACATCAGACTTCAAATTTTGCTACTTGATTATTTTACTTATTTTGCTAGTGTGTAATGTGTGTATTTCCCCCCATAATTTTCTCTCTGCCACTGTAAAAAGCAATACTGCCTTAGCTATCAGAGAGGTGTCTATGCTGTAGCTTGTCTGTCGTTAATAAACCCCCAAGCTCTCTTCTCATTCCTGAGCCACTCATGTCTGGTAATGATTTCCACATAGGAACACACACACAGCTGGATGTTTAAACCCTAGGTAAAGTTTTGTTTTCTGACACATCACCAATTTGAGTTTGAAAATAAGACTAGATGTACTGTAAAAATTATTCAAGAAAGAGGAATATGGAGTAATTAAAAAGTTCACTCCTTTGACCTTTTACCAAACCATTGGTAAAATGTTTCCTTTGATCTCTGAAATCAACCTGTAGAACTATTAGCTCCTGAGGCAAGTACTAGTACAGTTGTTATGCTATTAAAACTTCTGCAGAGCCATTTGTCTTGAAGGGTAGGAAAATTGTTTGCAGCTAGGTTGGCATTGGTTTGATTGCTGCTGATATAAACATTTCTGAATTACATTTTCTTACATGCCCAAGTTAACCTAAGAACTTTACATCAAAGAAGAAAGCAGATTGACTTGGCACAACTAGACTTTTTTTTTTTAAGAGCAAAATTGAGTACAATAATAATAGCTTTCAGAAACTGTGAAAATGTTAATGCAAGAAAATTAGTTCTAATGCAAACTTAGCCATGGAATTTTATTGAAAAAAAATTCATTGGAGCATGAAGCATTTTAAATAATGAATTTATAAGAAGAAACACAAAGAGATCACAGCCAGCCATTATTTATAATAAGAAAAAACAAGTATATTCTAATGATAATAGATTTGAGTACAAAATACTCAAATACATCATCTAATCTTTCTTTCATTGCCTGTTTGTCATTGGGAGGCCTGTCTGATGATTTGGGTAAGTCTCATGAGTGAATAACTTTGTGTTTGCTCAGCAGAGAACAACAGTTGCAATATGTAAATAGGGTGCTTCTTCCCGTTGGATGCCTTGGGATATGTATAATAGATTAAGTTGGGTTTATGCAGAGCAAACAGGTCTGTATTACTAAGAATATGAATAATGTTGGTTTCCATAATTGCAAACATCTGGCTTTCCATAAATCTGTTAAATTGCATGGAAGCAGAATTAGATTTCTGTGTCATAAGTAAAGCAATTACATGGAACTCTGTAGGCAATATGGTCCTATATTCAACTGTGAAATTTTTTCATTCTGGAGAAGTGAAAGCAAATTCTGGTTTTGTGCCCTGTTTTTATTGTGCACAATAGGTATGTTTATGCACAGGCTTCTTAATTTATGAGAGAAAATCACTACCAATATATTTGCAATGTGATAAATGCAAAATAACCAAATATTTTAAAAGCATAATGTAGCTAGGCATTAGTTGTCAATTTAGACATTATTTTAGAGAAAGCCATAAATTACAGGCCCTTTTGTAGCCACTGTGGATGGGTTGAAATTATACCTCCAGACAATTTCTGGAGCCATTTGTTAATGGCTTCCTCTGCCCTTGTTCTCAAGCATTTGACAGAAAATCAAATGTCCTTTTCCTGGGGAAGGAGCAGGGCATTGCCCCTACTTCAATGTGGTTACCAATTTGCTGTATTTTTTCTACTTTAAATTAGACCCAAGGGCCTTCACAGATGTGAACTCAACAACAAAATGTGTTCCCTGAAGGGAGGGGCAGGGTTGTGGTTATGCCTTATACTTATTGAACACTCTAGAGAACAAGTTTTGACAAAGTAGGCATTATCATAGTCTCAGTCTGTGAATTTCCTAAGAAAGTTAAATGGAATAAATACATTGGACATCTACATAGCATTCTGTTATAATCTGCACTGGGAAGAGAAAGAGAAATAAAATTTAGTGTCTGCCTTCAATGAGCTCACTCTCTCTGGAGGTAGATATACTAAACATAAACTCTTGAGAGATGAATGCAAGGATAGAATTGTGTTTAAGGTACCGAGAAAGCTAAATGTCTATAGTGACTGTCTTGCCGTGTAAGAGATGGTGATGCTTAACCTGAATTTTGAAGACTCCTATTAGCACAGCAAGAAAAGTGCTTATCGAATAATTTATACCTCGCCTCATTCCCTATCGGCCAAGAAAAAGTAGAGAAAGAGAGAGAGAGTACCCCCTTAATAAGAAAAAGCATGTTCTAAGCCACCGTTGTTTCATTGGAAACAATATGGCCTCTTTGTGGATCTCCTATTGCTTTTTTAAAAAAGATCAGTTGGCAAAATTTATATGTATTTATGGTATACAACATGATGTTTTGAAATAGGAATACATTCTGGAATGGTTACATAATCAAGCTAAGTAATACATGTGTTACTTTATACACATTTCTTTTTGGCAAAAGTGTTCTCAGCAATTTTCAAGAATACAATACCTTGTTATTAACTGTAGTCACCATGTTTGACAGTAGGTCTCTGGAATATATATTCCTTCTGTTTAACTGAATGAAAAGGGAGGGGACAAAAGATAGCAATTGAAGTGTTAGATGGAGTTTGTATGCTATGCTGGGTTTTAAAATTATTGCAAGACCATAGATTGGGAGGGTATATAGAAGATAAATGTGAGAAAAGCAAAGTAACATGTCAAAGAATATACAGTTTTGTGTAAAATGACTATATATGTAAACACTCAATGAAAAAGTAAGAGCTTATTTTCAAACACTGGTCACCTGTCTCCCACTTTTAAAGCTCCTTTTAGTTGAGAAGAATAAGAGAATGGAAAGAGAGGCCATAAGAAAGGAGCATCATATGTTCAGATACGCTGAGAATGTCATGGGCATGACTAGTAACAGTGAGCAGATATAGTGAGGCTTGATATTAGTTCACTTGGAATATAGGCATCATAATTTGGAATCTTTAATTTTCAAAGGAGAAGTCATTGTTCATTAATGAAATGTCTTAACTAAGGCTAAAATTGGTAAGACAAAGACAAAAAGTAGATCTTGGGAAGAAGTAGCTTCTAGAAATATTATTAGAATTTCTTAATGTCATCTGCTTTGTACTGCACCATGTGCAAAGAAACTTATGCATAACAGGTAGACCAAAACCAGGTAGACTAGCAGACACTTCTTGAATGGCCTCAGACACTAAGTACCAGTACTTCTACCAATGAGTAGAAGTTACTTGGTCATATATTTCATCTCAGTTTAAGGGAGACATTTCCAAAAGAGTTATTCAAAGGTGGAATCAGGTATTTTTTAAGGTAATTGATTGCCTTTTGGGGAAGTACTTAAACCAGGTTTGGACAGGTTTGTGTTTGAGATGTTGTTAAGGTCACTCAAGCTTTAAATGTCAGAATATTCTGACTGGATTTATGTTTTTATTCAATTCTTGGCTGTCAATAAAGAGCAGGACAATATATTTCATCAGCATCCATCCATGTAGCTCTGATATTATTTTTATGCATGGACAAAAATTCTGCTGGCCATTTGGATAGTAAGGCTTTGATTATAAAAGGCTCCTCTCAAGACACACTTCCTTCAACCTTGGTTGTAGGATCTAGGAGCAGTCTAATTGTCTCAAGGTTGCCCAAATGGCCCACTTGTTCCTACTCAGTGGCTAATATATTCACATCTTTTCTAAAAGACCCAGATCTCCCTGGGGTGTATGAATACTGTTAATGAATTAACAGTGTTTATGGCCTCTGGATGAAATCATTCTTAAGAACATCCTAAAAGCAGTTCCTGACTGCAACTGGATATTTTAGTAATTGGAGTTGGGCAGCTACGTGTAGGTTTGAGTTTCAGATCAGCCACTTACTAGCTGTATGACGATAGTCATGCTATTTAAGTCTATAAACCTCAGCTCCATTATTTGCAGAATAGAAATAAGGACAAATCCTCTCACACAGAGCTGAACTGACTTGCAGTGTAAATGAGATAATGCATGTGAATAGCTTGGCACAATACCTGCCACAAGGTAAATGGTCAATGTTGTAAGTTAGTGTTGCTGTAAATGATGGCTATTCTCCAAGTTCCCTTGGCTAAGCCTTTGTGCTTCCTATATTGCAGACATCGATGAATGTGCCTTAGGAACTCACACCTGCTGGAATGATTCTGCCTGCATCAACTTGGCAGGGGGCTTTGACTGCCTCTGCCCCTCTGGGCCCTCCTGCTCTGGTGACTGCCCTCATGAAGGGGGGATGAAGCGCAATGGCCAGGTGTGGGCCTTGAAAGAAGACAGGTGTTCTGTCTGCTCCTGCAAGGTGAGGCTAATGTGGTTCAACAGAAATTGACACTGTTCCTTCTTTTCCTCCCTCACTTTTCTGCCTCCCCACCTCTCTCCCTCTTGCTATTCACTTTAGTTCTTGAACAGGTTTCTCCTGTTCTTATCTACATTACAGCTAGTGATGATGCTGGAGGGCAGGAAAACCTACTTTGAATTGATTGTGTTCTTAGTGGAAAGTGAGGTGTGAGGACTAGAAGAAACTGCAGGGAAGAGGAAGCAGGGCAGAAAAGCCAATGATAGTTCTTCCACTGAAAGCCTGCAGTGTCTTTAAGTTTGGTTGGGTGAGAGTTTTAATGAGCCCTCATCCCACACTTACACAAATTTGCTGATTAAAACTACTGTTTACCTAAAATCACCACCTGCGTGAACTTGCTCATTTTATGACATCATCCAGAAAAGCAAGGCCAACAAACTTGCATCCCGTGCTGAGACAGGTGAACTTTTCATTTTGAGCAAATGATAATGATAGTATGAGGCCTCTTAAAAATTGATGGCTTCTTTGTTATTCTCAGTGCTGGACTATTCCTTATATTAAGTTGTTTGGGAGTGAGCTTAATGCTTATGAAAATAAAATTCTGTCATCATTTGGTTTTGCTTTATGCTTTGTAAAATGGGTCCATTAAAGTGTTTGATCTCCTTGTGCTTTATTTCTTCTTTTATTGATCTTGCCAATTTATTTTTCTCTGTTATTGCTCTACTGTAGCTTTTGCCTTGTATGTCTGTGTCTGTTGGGATAGGAGTATTTAATCTTGGGCTTTATGGGCATGGGAACCAAGAGAAATTACTTGCTTAGTGCAGACTCTTAGAGAGCTAAGTCTCCTGATAAATTCCCAGTGTGCTCCCAAGAAACAGAGCTGAAATAAGCCTTAAGAAATCACCCACCTGCCTTCATCTGCCTTCATCCTCCGCACCTCCACAGACCTGTGGACACCTAGTTAGGAGGGCCACGTTAACAAGTGCTTCGATCATTTTCTCCTAACACCTGTTTTTTCCCCCTTTCACATAAACCTTGTTTCCTACACAACAATTTAGGTTTGTTTTCCCATATTGGAGCACCTGCTATGTTTAAACTACCCTGTAATTCAAAAAACAGCATCATATTTACTTCTTACAGCACTACTTTGAAAGACTGAATTTCTATGGGATAAAGTAACTTGTCCTGAATATTAAAGATATAAATGTCTAAGCTGTGACTTAAACTCCAATAGCTTGGCTCAAAGTTCATAGTTTGTCCATCTTGTCAGATGTCTTATAACACTCTACAGATGATATTTATTGGTATATTTGAAACCAATTAGGTAACTGGTAATCTAACTTGACTGAGGTCAAACTTTCAATGCAGGACTATGTAAATGACTGGTGAGACATTCCCTCAAGTGGTTTTGAAGTTATTAAGTATAATGTTTAACCACATGGTGCTGACTCAAAGGGCAATTTTTTTTTCTTTTTTAGATACAGAGTCTTACTCTGTTGCCCAGGCTGGAGTACAGTGGCACGATCTCAGCTCTCTGCAACCTCTGCCTCTTGGGTTCAAGCAATTGTCCTGGCTTAGCCTCCAGAGTAGCTGGGACTACAGGCACACACCATCACACCTGACTTTTTTTTTTTTTTTTGTATTTTAGTAGAGACAGGGTTTCACTGTATTGCCAGGCTGGTCTCAAACCCCTGAGCCCAGGCAATCCGCCCACCTTGGCAACTATAGTGCTAGGATTACAGGCATGAGCCACTGCACCAGGCCAAAGGGCAAAAATTTTTAAGAGAATAAAAATCTCACTGTGGTTTAGAAGATTTCCTTAATTTCTTATTAGAAGAGGATAGCAATTAGGTTCCCCATTCAGCCAGCAGAATGGGGATGAATTCTTTACTAGGTCATTTCAAGAAAACATTGTGTTTTAAAACTTTTGAGGATGGACATTACATATCCCCTCATCCTTTTTGGGCTTTCTTGGTCCCCAGTCCCTGGAATAGGCAAGGGATATTAGTGGAGTCTTGACTAGTATGAGAGTGAAATTCCTCTTTCAGTTTTTGTTTTATTTAAGCCAAAATGAAGCAGGGAACTTACTATTCATTGAAAATTTCCCAGAGCTTCTTTAATTAACTGTGTTAATAATCCAAGCAGCCTAAATCGATTTATTCTGTTTTGAATCCTAAAGTGTTTCCAAAGTCTTATGAGAATTAGACTGAAATTGCCAAAGGGATGAGCAATTCTTGTTGTCTAATTTTGTTAATATGATGCACCTTCACTGCAAACCACCCCAATTTCTGAAAAAAGTACTAGGCAAATTTCTGTACATAAATCTTTTGTGTGTGTGTGTTCTAAATGTATTCATTGCCTATTTATAGCACAGTTTCCCAGAGGTTGTGAAGGGGAAGGAAAGCCTGGGTTAGGAGCCGAATTAAGAATCCTGAATCAGATTCTGCAAGTCACCCTTATAAAATGAACTGCTTGTGGCCGTCCTTTTTTGTTTCCATTATTTGAAGTTGAAAGTGCTCTATTTCAATTTGATAAGAAATATCTCCAATACTTACTTATACATCCAAATGGACAATTATAGTGGCATCATCTTGGAAGCTAAGAAATAAAATTGAGGTTGGGGTATCAAGTACTGTCTTTTCAGTCATATCCTTGACATTTCAAATTTAAATACCATCAAACTATGTAACAGTAGAATTACACAAACCAACAAAGGGTCAAGGCTTACCGCTGAAAGAAGTAGAGTCAAATTTATTTCAAAAGGCTACCTGGTGCTATGAGAGTCAGTACACCAGGTTAGGTGCCACTGTTTCATGGTAATTGAAAAAAAGGTCTTGAAACATGTCCACAGATGAATATAGTTCAGTGGTGAAGCTAGGCTAGCATAAATGGATTTGGGCTTTTGTTAGAGTCTATGTACTTCCTTGGCAGTGACAATGTTTTTGTGCACCTTCAGACCACCTAGTTAATTAGGTACAGAGAGATTGCTGCACTGATGAAAACTCATGTTCCTCCAGCATTATTTAGACCACAGAAACCCAGATGAATAATGGTTGTGTCTTTTGGCTTGATCCCTAAATCTTGGTTACAGCCCAACTTCTTTTCATAGATACCCATCTGTGGCTCTTCTATCATAAATTTATACAGGACTTTAGGAAGACATCTTAATTTTCTGCCTGTGCTACATGGGAAAGTAGAGACATCCTCAGCCTATTAGTTTCAAGGAAATGTAGTATTTTACTATAAGTAGTTGTGCTTATGTTATAGCTCATGGAGATGAAGAGGGAAATGGATACAAAAACAAGTAACCACTTGTCATATATGGTAGAGCTATGAACAGTTTGCTGTGGGAACACAAAAGGGTAAGCACAATCAGCCCTCTGTACTTGTGGGTTCTACATTCATGAATTCAACCAGATCAAAAATATTTATAAAGTAAAGATAATGCAAATTTAAAATAATATGATATAAATATTTTATTTATATCCTATTAGGTATTATTAGTAATCTACAGATGTTTTAAAGTATATGAGAGAATATGCATAGGTTATTTGCAATACTGTGCAGTTATATGCAAATACTATGCCATTTTATGTAACGGACTTGAGCATCTGTCATTCTGGTATCTGTGCAGAGGTCCTCAAACCAATCCCCCAGAGATACGGAGGGATGACTGAATGTTATATTCTGCGAAGATGCAGAAGGGAATAGGGAAAGCCTTCAGAGAGGGGGCGATCTTTGAAGAGGACCTTAAAGGATGAGGAATTTAGTCAAATAAAGATATAGAGGAAGGTAAATCCCAAACAAGAGGGAACCGTAAGAGCAAAGATGCAGAAGTGTAAGAATATATATTGTGTTGGAAATATGAAGTGAATGATGAGCTTGAATATTAGGAGCAAAAAGAGTATAAGAAGGGTATAGTCAATGATGAGCCAGCAGAGAAAGGCTAGAGACAGAGCTAGGCCATGAAATTTAGACTTCATCCTGTGGGTAGCAAATGTTCATAAGAGATTTGACATTTGGAATTGGCAGGGCCCAATCAAGGTCTGAGTGACAGCGTGATGGACGGCATGAGCAGATAGAAGCTAACTAGAAAGAAATCACTTGGGCGGATGTAAAGTTTCAGAGGAGTAAAGATGAAAGCCTGAAAGATAGATAGAAAGATCTAATGGGAGAAAATGCAGAAGTGAAAAATGATGATGAGTGATGATGCTAGAGACTTTGTGTCTGTGGTAATATCTTCCCTATTCTCTGAGCAAAAAAAAAAAGCTCCTGAGTAACATGTTTGATACATAAATGCCCATTTTCTTGGGTGAACAGGATTCAGGTGCCACTGATAAGAGTAAGAACGAGGGTCTGCAAGCTGGGTTTGTATGCTACTACATCTATACCTACATGTACACCTGCACTTATACCTATACCTATACTATTTTAAGTAGTAACTGGATAATCTATTGGAAGGAAGAGAGCAAAATGTGAAGGCCAGATTTTGTTTTTATGCTTTCATGCAGTTAAAAAAAATGTGAGTAGCATTCATCTTGAAAACAAAGTAATACTAAAGACTTGAGCAGTGTTAGGTCTTAAGTTTTTCTGGGGACTACAGAGGTAAGTAGGGAAAGAGATACTATAAATAACCAGTAAACTTCCATGTTATAATAAAATCAGGGACAAATTACTGTGGAAAGGGAAAGCAAAAAGAAGACCTTTGCCATGAGATTGCCTGGAATCATAGCCATCGGATCTGGTTTATGTAAACCTATTCCCAGAAACTGAAGAGGATGGCCATGCCAGGGGCACCTCAAGCACTCACGTATCTCTTTCTGGCAAGGAGGGATCACCTGATCTGCAAGAAGCTGTCAGGATACTGGCCGTGTCTTCCTAAGTATAGCACTCACAGGATAAAGCCAGGGATGAATATGGTCTGTTCCTGGGGCCAGGGTAGAGGTAAACTTTCTGAATTCCAGCAAACTACTCATAAAAATACTTTGCCTTGCTCTTTGAAC